TTATACATTAAAATTTCTGTTAAATCATGTACTGGCATTATTTTCGCGTATAAATAACAAAACAACTATTTGTGTTGGACTTATAAAACCCCGAAATATACCGCATAAATTGACCCCCCTCCTGTCAACATTCACCCCCAACCCCATCTCCTGTCGATTATTGTAGAAACCCTTTAGACGATGTCTTCTCTGTTCTGTCACTCCTTTGTCGAGACACAAATATTAATAGATTGAGCAACCCAGCTGTGTCTTATTGTGTGGTGATGGCTTAAATTTTGCTTTCGAGTAACTGTTTTTGAGTTTTGCTTTCGAGTAACTGTTTTTGAGCTTTGCTTTCGAGTAACTGTTTTTGAGTTTTGCTTTCGAGTAACTGTTTTTGAGTTTTGCTTTCGAGTAACTGTTTTTGAGTTTTGCTCAATATAGATAATTATATAAAGGCAGGACACATTTGAATTTTTTGCCAAAACTCCAATAAGATACAGGTGAATCTGTAACCCAGTTCTAATGAAGAGACGAATCGACAAATATATCATATTGGGCAATTTTTCATTATTTTCCTATTCAAAACCCCCTTCGTCGATCTATTAGAAGCACTTGACGACTGACAACCGTAATTAGCCGAAAAATGATTGGATTTGAAAATTTTACTTAATATACCATCTAGTTAATGAAATCAACATGGCTAGTGGTGAAATTAATTACTCATATCACTACATGGACCGGTTATTCGAAGTAAGAACGTTTCACGGGACTTCAAACGAAACGTTGAGTGATTCCGCGGGACCTTTCAGAAATAAATTTCTATTGTGTTCGAGTGTCGGCTCGGAGTCTGTGTGAAGTGTAAGGCATGAGTATATGTGTGCGTCACAGGTTGATCATATCAGTAATGAACGTCGTTATATTAAAGTATATGTTTACATTGTTATCGTTTTACTTGTCGACAGACACTAAGAGATATAGGGACGTTACATATCACACTCCGCACTCGCACTTTGATGTGTGTAGGACAGCACGCGCATCAATTGGAATCGCGCGCTGTGACCCTGATACAGAGCGGTGCGTGACCACGTTTGAAGCGTAGGCTGGAGATACATAGTATAAAGTAGAAGGTGAAAACTAAATTAACCAACTCAATCTACTTACACGACATATAAAAAAACAAGACTTGGGTTTCGATCGATTCTAGTACTACACACAGGTACGCAGAAACACTGATTAACTTCCACCGGCACTTCTTAATAGTGATGACGGCGGTCTCCGTTTGTTGGAGCCGTTGGCGAGACGATTCCTTCACCAGACTATTAAATAGACCATATTTTCGTTTGTTTCCCGTAAATTAACGATTCGGTTTGTTTTATATCTGTATTTGTTTCGGAAAAGTAAGTATAACCATCACATCTCCAATGTGATGACGAACGGTCGATACAGAAGCGGGGCTCGTCTCGTGCGAATACGCGCCAAAGTGGGGTGGCTGTGTGTTGAAGTTGTATTTTTCATTCTTTGATAATTGTTTTCTTTACAAGCCTTGCCGCTGTGGATCTGCTGAAGCGTTAGTTATTCTTTTCCCACAGTTTTCCGCTAGTTATACCCTACTCCGTACTCAGACACGAGCGCGTGCTACTTGTCCCACTAGATGGCGCCTTAATATACACTAATAACGCCTTTTTGATTCCAAATCGTATCAGATTCTAAGCCCTTCAGCCCCTTCATGCGGATGAACACGTACATGTGATACGAAGTTCATAGATACAAGACATTTAAGTTACGTACCCGTATCGCCACTCATGCGTAAAACATGAGAGTGTCATGCTAACTAAACACGCACCAGTGTAGTACTTAGGTATACCGTATATTAGTTCAAACATCGTTATTTTTCTTCTTAAATAATGATACACGGATAAAATAGAATGGATGCTGAACTATCAAACAAAGATTAAATTCAATCCGAAATTTTATCAAACTATATTTATGGTTTGTAATTAGGGGTACATCAGTCGAAAAAATATTTATATCTCCAAGAGTTACCGCCCTTCGTTGAACTCTCTCGGTACGTAGCGATAAGCTTGACAGCAGAAGGGGGCTGAGGGGGGTCTACAACGGTATAGTATCACATGATCGAAATTTTCATTTGTGGTGCCATTTATGGGAAAGAAATGTCTTATCATTTGTCGCAGTATAACGACTTTCAATAGAAATATTACTTTTGACTTTCTTTGAAAATGTAAAGATATTACAATTTGCCAATCCTAATATGTCACTGAAACACTGGTATGAGGGTAATTATCGTTTCTTGAATAAAGGAAATGATAAAACGATTGTAATCCAGATTTTAATTGCTGTAATTACACTGACGTCTCAATGGTATATAATTTGATACCAATTTTTGTGTACAGTTTAACAAAGACCAATATATTATATAAACAATGGCGTTAAACACGTAACAAAACGACTTTCTATAGTTTCATGGGACAGAAATTAATTACCATTTTTGTTGGGCAATCCTTCGAAATAATGACGGTCTTTGCTGTTTTTGTTTGAGAATTTCCAGAATCACAATAATCCTTTACATGTGTATTCATCGATTAGTTGTGGTCAGGGACATGGTGACCACCAAAATGGCAGTTTTTTCCTTATTTGCAGACATGCCTTACACCCTTCAGGCAGCAAGCGTATTGATTATTTATTTTCATTTTTTGAAAAAAAAGGTCCCTAGGAAATAACTACAGCTAATTAAAAATATATATATATAACTTTTAAATGTATCATTGTGTTTACGGTGTAAATATTTGTAATTGGTTTATGGTCTTACGACTGTTTATAGAGCACTAACAGAAATTCTTAAAGTCTTATGACTGTTTATGGAGAACTTACGGAAATTCTTAAAGTCTTGTGGCTGTTTATAGATATCGTACTGAAATTCTAATGTTTGCATGGACCTGTAATACTACCGACGACGAAAAAGTCGGGTAGTTTGACCACATGATTTCAGACTAAAAACGTAACCTTAATGTTGTAAATCTCGCTTTATATGTCATGCTATTAAATGTATTTGTGTGATCAAATGAGATAAAAGAGATCTGAAGACACCAAGCGTTTTAAAGCACAATAATTTGAAAGTAAGGCGTCGCCGGCTTGTTTTATTGATTAGAAAATTTGTCAGAAATCACTCATTTGTTGTTAACATAAAACATTTTTATAGTAGTAGACCTAGACATCCAGTTTCTCTGTATCACAGACTCTACCTCATACAAAAGAAAGTATATATGTGCTCTGATAGCAATCATACTTAACTACACTATCTCTGTGTCATACCTAACTACACTATATCTGTGTTATACCAAACTACACTATCTCTGTGTCATACCTAACTACACTATCTCTGTGTCATACCTAACTACACTATCTCTGTGTCATACCTAACTACACTATCTCTGTGTCATACTTATCTACACTATATCTGTGTCATACCTAACTACACTCTCTCTGTGTCATACCTAACTACACTATCTCTGTGTCATACTTAACTACACTATCTCTGTGTCATACCTAACTACACTATCTCTGTGTTATACCTAACTACACTATCTCTGTGTCATACCTAACTACACTATCTCTGTGTCATACCTAACTACACTATCTCTGTGTCATACCTAACTACACTATCTCTGTGTCATACCTAACTACACTATCTCTGTGTCATACCTAACTACACTATCTCTGTGTCATACCTAACTACACTATCTCTGTGTCATACCTAACTACACTATCTCTGTGTCATACCTAACTACACTCTCTCTGTGTCATACCTAACTACACTATCTCTGTGTCATACCTAACTACACTATCCCTGTGTCATACCTAACTACACTATCCCTGTGTCATACCTAACTACACTATCCCTGTGTCATACCTAACTACACTATCTCTGTGTCATACCTAACTACACTATCTCTGTGTCATACCTAACTACACTATCTCTGTGTCATACCTAACTACACTATCTCTGTGTCATACCTAACTACACTATCTCTGTGTCATACCTAACTACACTATCTCTGTGTCATACCTAACTACACTATCTCTGTGTCATACCTAACTACACTATCTCTGTGTTATACCTAACTACACTATCTCTGTGTCATACCTAACTACACTATCTCTGTGTCATACCTAACTACACTATCTCTGTGTCATACCTAACTACACTATCTCTGTGTCATACCTAACTACACTATCTCTGTGTCATACCTAACTACACTATCTCTGTGTCATACCTAACTACACTATCTCTGTGTCATACCTAACTACACTATCTCTGTGTCATACCTAACTACACTATCTCTGTGTCATACTTAACTACACTCTCTCTGTGTCATACCTAACTACACTATCTCTGTGTCATACCTAACTACACTATCTCTGTGTCATACCTAACTACACTATCTCTGTGTCATACCTAACTACACTATCTCTGTGTCATACCTAACTACTCTATCTCTGTGTCATACCTAACTACACTATCTCTGTGTCATACCTAACTACACTATCTCTGTGTCATACCTAACTACACTATCTCTGTGTCATACCTAACTACACTATCTCTGTGTCATACCTAACTACACTATCTCTGTGTCATACCTAACTACACTATCCCAGTGTCATACCTAACTACACTATCTCTGTGTTATACCTAACTACACTATCCCTGTGTCATACCTAACTACACTATCTCTGTGTCATACCTAACTACACTATATCTGTGTCATACCAAACTACACTATCACTGTGTCATACCTAACTACACTATCTCTATGTCATACCTAACTACACTATCTCTGTGTCATACCTAACTACTCTATCTCTGTGTCATACCTAACTACACTATATCTGTGTCATACCTAACTACACTATATCTGTGTCATACGTAACTACATTATCTTTGTGTCATACCTAACTACACTATCTCTGTGGTTTACCTAACTATGATATCTTTGTTACAGATGTATCAAAAGGAACCTTTATAGACGATATCTTTTCAAGATTATTTGACCAAGGGTGAGTATCATCCTCATCATCATTATCATCATCATCATCATCATCTTCATCATCATCATCATCATCATCATCATCATCATCATCGTCTATAATAAAAACAATTATCATATCACAACCCGTTATCAGTGTAACACCCATTACATAACTACCCTGTTATCAGTGTAATAACACCTTTACATAACAACCCTGTTATCAGAATGATAACACCTTTATTTAACAACCCTGTTATCAGTATAATAACACCCATTACATAACTATCTTGTTATCAGTGTTATAACACCCATTACATAACTACCCTGTTATCAGTAATTACACACTACCCTGTTATCAGTAAAGACATCCATTACATAACTACCCTGTAATCATTGCAATAACATCAATTACACGGATTGCAATAACATCAATATGACGTCACCGAAGAATTTGATATGTAGTAAGAATATCGTGAATGTAGTACTTTATATCCCCTAACGGTGAAAACGGAGAGATCCATCGTGTTTATCTCCGTCTGTCTGTCCGTCCGTTAACAGCAAAGGTCAATGTTGCTAAAAATTCATATTTTCGTCAAATTTTGATTTCAAGGTCATAACTTTAAAAAGGATCGATAGATGTGGTTGAATCTTCATGCAATGTTAGCTTATGAAGTAACATAGAGTCGGATTGAGCTTTGGATAAAACAAAACTGCCAAGGCCACTGTTACTAAAAACAGACTTTTATTGGCATATTTTGGTTTCCAGATGGTAACTTGTGATAGCGTGACTGATTATGTTGAAACTTGATGCAATTTAATATTATTAAGATATATAGGGTGGGATTGAGTTAGGGGTTAAAAGGTCAACTGTGAAGGTCACTTCCTAAAATAGATGTCATCAATTTTAAAGCTCCGGATCTTTGTCAGAATAACACCAGTACTCAAATGACTGTTCAGGGTCACTGTATCAAAAGATCGAAGTCAAATTTGACATCTTTTCATGTGTATTTTGCGTTATGTTCTAGGTTTTGCGTTCTTCCTGTAAAGACATTGGTTTTCGATGGGAAGACTTTGAATTGTTAAAATGAGACATCTGTTCATTGCTGTCATGGTCTATGTTGTTATAGTAATCGTCAATGGACGAATGTTTTACGATCATGATAAATCTCATTTTTATTGTAGATACGGTGGGAAAAACAACAGAGGTGGAAGGCGTGATGTTGAGGATATCGGCCGAGCGGAAACGCTCTCCATGAAGCGGGGACGTGAGAGGACGTCAGGTTTCTATAGCAACTGGTGACGCTACTGGTTGTTTGTGATCACGTGACATTGACATGAGAATGCAATAAACATGTATGCTTTATAAAGAACAGACTGATTTTTAATTAATGATGATGTAACAGCGACCCACTGTTTCGTGTTTCTTAATAAATATTTTAAATAAAGCAATGACTCGGCATTTAAACTTGTATACGAGACAATATCAACACAACAGTACATCCGTGTTTGTTCCTGGTCGAATCCGTATCACAAAGACATGTGACAGGAACAGAATGTTTCAATATGAATTTCGGAATAATAGCGTTGAAATAAAATTGGCACAATGATACAGTTTAAATGTGGTGAAAACAATTATCGCAGCATAACCAGATTGAGTCGTCGTATGCCAGGTACATTTAATTGACTACGGCAACAATGGTTGTAATATGGCGTCACAAATATCTACCATAAACTGCCCGGGACTTTTTTTTTTTTTTTTTTTGGGGGGGGGTGGGGGGGGGGGGGGGTAATACTTACCATAACTCCATAAAGTTATGCCGGTAAGTATTACATCATGAAAATTGGTTTTACTTGAATAAAAACTCTCAATTTCATTTCAGTAATGATAACCATAACCTTAGTATCCAAAAACAATACCTGCACCTATCTTTATAGCCCTCCCCCCCAAAAAAAACAAAAGATTAAAAAAAACGGCCCTCCCTACAGTCCCAAAAGCCATTACGGATGAGACGTAGAGTTGTCTCCCTTTATGGTAATGCTTACTGAAATGAAATTCACTATTAAGGGCCATAGACAGTTTCCTTTCTAATCGAAATTCGAGAAACGACTAAAGTTCAAAGTTTCTTTGAAGCGAGGATCTGATGTGTTCAAACAAGCATTACAATGCATTACAATATCATCGGGATGCAAAAATCAATATCCATCTTGGTGCGATCACATTTTTTTTATATCTTCGGATTTCTAAACATTGTCAATTTGTCGTAAAGGTAATGTCAAATGATGGAAATAAATAATCACTCGATCGGGACTATTTCAGACGTGATGTCTCAGTTCCTGAGACACAACAGGGGCTATTTCAGACGTGATGTCTCAATTCCTTAGTCACAACAGGGGCTATTTCAGACGTGATGTCTCAATTCCTGAGACACAACAGGGGCTATTTTAGACATGATGTCTCAATTCCTGAGACACAACAGGGGCTATTTCAGACGTGATGTCTCAGTTCCTGAGACACAACAGGGGCTATTTCAGACGTGATGTCTCAATTCCTGAGACACAACAGGGGCTATTTCAGACGTGATGTCTCAATTCCGAAGTCACAACAAGGGCTATTTCAGACATGATGTCTCAATTCCTAAGTCACAACAGGGGCTATTTCAGACGTTATGTCTCAATTCCGAAGTTACAACAGGAGCTATTTCAGACGCGATGTCTCAATTCCTAAGTCACAACAGGGGCTATTTCAGACGTGATGTCTCAATTCCTGAGACACAACAGGGGCTATTTCAGACATACTGACTCAATTCCTTAGTCACGACAGGAACTATTTCAGACATACTGACTCAATTCATTAGTCACAACAGGGGCTATTTCAGACGTGATGCCTCAATTCCTAAGTCACAACAGGGGCTATTTCAGACGTGATGTCTCAATTCCTAAGTCACAACAGGGGCTATTTCAGACGTGATGTCTCAATTCCTATGTCACAACAGGGGTTATTTCAGACGTGATGTCTCAATTCCTAAGTCACAACAGGGGCTATTTCAGACGTGATGTCTCAATTCCTGAGACACAACTGGGGCTATTTCAGACGTACTGACTCAATTCCTAAGTCACAACAGGGGCTATTTCAGACGTGAACTTCAATTCCTTAGTCACTACAGGAGCTATTTCAGACTTGATGCCTCAATTCCTAAGTCACAACAGGGGCTATTTCAGACGTACTGACTCAATTCCTAAGTCACAACAGGGGCTATTTCAGACGTGATGTCTCAATTCCTATGTCACAACAGGGGTTATTTCAGACGTGATGTCTCAATTCCTGAGTCACAACAGGGGCTATTTCAGACGTACTGACTCAATTCCTAAGTCACAACAGGGGCTATTTCAGACGTACTGACTCAATTCCTAAGTCACAACAAGATCTATTTCAGACGTACTGACTCAATTCCTAAGTCACAACAGGGACTATTTCAGACGCACTGACTCAATTCCTAAGACACAACAGAGGTTATTTCAGACGTGATGTTTCAATTCCTGACACAACAGGGGCTATTTCAGACATGTTGTCTCAAATCCTAAGTCACAACAGGGATTTTTGCAAACGTTTTGTCTCAGTTCCGAAGTCACAAAAGGGTTTTTCCAGACCCCGACTCAATTCCGAAGTCACAAGAGGGTATTTTCCAGACCCCGACTCAATTCCGAAGTCACAAGAGGGGTTTTTCCAGACCCCGACTCAATTCCGAAGTCACAAGAGGGGTTTTTCCAGACCCGACTCAATTCCTAGGTCACAATAGGAATTTCCGCACGTCGGTGGACCAGGTCCATGCATAAAATTACCAATAACCCTTTCAGTGACAAATATCGCTGTCTGCAGTAGGGATGGACACCACGATGACACACACTACACGTGAACGATGTGTTATCTTCCTAACAGTCAGAGTCTGAGTTTTTCGCCGACCTGACAAGAAATGTCATAACCTGAATATTCCAACATTCAAGATCAAACATGTAGAAATCTCTAATCATATTTAGGGTTATTGCCACAAGGCAAACATGAAAAATATAAAAAGAACGCGTTTGGATTCAACGTCCATTTGTAAAAAGATACCACAATACATTTTCCCGATTTTTGCCAAGTTCTGAAGACATTGGCGCAATTATGGTCTCTGAAACTACATTGGAATTGCACGATATACTTAGGGAAATACTTTATTGAATGGCCTCACAAACTTTTTTACAATCACAACAGTGCTCGCATATTTTCGTCCACCCTTTCCTCGTGACTACTTTTACATTGTAAATGGGGACATTTATACGTCTCATTTATGTGAGGACTTTACTTTGATATCCGCGCGCCCACGGCGTTCACAAAGATAGCTTATCGGATTAAATACTGACATAGATTTATTCTATAATCAGGAAATATTAAGTCGGGTTGAGGAATGATACACACTACCATATCGTTGCTATTTCTATAGGGTGTCCCCAGAATGTCTTTGAGCATTATAACATCATGATAGCATGATTTTAAAGGGATTATATGGTTTAGATATTCATTTAGTAACCGATATAAAAATTATAACATTTAAATACTTGTCTAAAATTGTGTACTTCCTGTTGATTATAATATCTTTAAGTTTGCCTAACTATTGTATAAACAGCGTCAAAAAATTAAATTAAATAGGAGCGACCCAACACTAATTCATATTATCATTGTTCGGAAAGTGTAAACAGTGTCTTTGCGCATTTAAATTTAGATTCAGATTAATTTAAATGTGAGAATTGAAACATGCCTGGCAAATTAAGTTTTGGCTAATTACGTAATTATACACAGTAAAAAATTATATCAAAACGGCGAGTTAAAACGAGGCTCCGAAAGGTCACGTGTTGAACTCCGCTATTTCCGATCAAAACAGCGATGGGTGGTAAACATAAGAGCGAGTGTCGACTAGCGTCGGTTCGAAGCTGGTAATCTTTAGGAATTTCTCTCAGAGAGTGTTAAAATTTTGTGAAAAGTCCAATTTTAAGTATTACAATGCTTGCCCGAAATCAAACGCATACGAAAAATAACGAAATTTAACCATTTAGTCCCTATAAACCTCGACAAAACTACGTGTACGAGGATTGACTCTCGACAACGATTAGCGAAAGAAAACTAATTGATGTTAACATAGGATGGTTGCACTATTTCCCATGTAACATTCCAAAGAATTTAAAGACTTGTTGATAAAAATCTTATTTGGAAATTACACGTAGACAAAATGTGCTCTAATATTGCGGTCAAAATATGTTTACAAGGGAGATTAGATAAATATTTATACAAAGATGCTAAACTTCTATTTGTTAATAAGGTGGTGATGCAGTAAAACATGTTAACAGAATTAATAAAGTAATGAAAAGAGTTGCGATAATATTTTTGCATAAACTAAAGCTTACTCCGTCCAAAGATATATATCGTGAAATGAATTGGCTATCTCTCATAGTAAAATGTATGACAACGGTCTTATTGTACAAAATGACAAACAGTCTAGCTCATCAATACGTCAGATTTATTTATACAATCTTCCAGTCTGTCAAATTACCATACAAGGTCCGTTGTCATGGAAATGTTATGATTCCAGCTTACAGACTGAGCAATTTTAAATGCTATTTAGCTTCTCTGCTGTTGATATTTGGAATTTATTTCTAGGTCCAATAAAAAATGTGTATCATTGGATTATTTTAAAAATCAGTGCAAACAACATTTTATGATACGATATTAATTAAAACATTTTATCGAAAATCGTACAAGACACTGTTCATACGTTCTTTATTAATTCATTACGATGACAACAAATGACTCGATGAATGATCTAATGTAACGAAAAAGATATTTTTATTTATCTATGAATACATTGATGGATTAACGATACACCCTGAACGAACGAATGAATGAATAAATGAATGAATGAATTGGGGACATGGCTGTAAATAACTTTGTTTTAACATGTACTTAAGTCATTTATCCTCTATCAGTAAAGAATTTATTATTATTATTCTAAACACATCTCCTTAGAGTTATTGTGAAACACACACACATACACACACACACACAAAACACACACAGAGAGAGAGAGAGAGAGAGAGAGAGAGAGAGAGAGAGAGAGAGAGAGAGAGAGAGAGAGAGAGAGAGAGAGAGAGAGAGAGAGAGAGAGAGAGAGAGAGAGAGAGAGAGAGAGAGAGAGGGGGGGGGGGAGCGAGAAAGATCGAGAGGGAGAGAGAGAGAGAGAGAGAGAGAGAGAGAGAGAGAGAGAGAGA